TATTATTCTGTACTCCTTTGTCTACCAATATCTCCAGTTCCTTCCTATATTTCATAGTGGGATCTTTTTGTAATATTTTATACGTAGTACTATCAGTTAATTGTGAATTGAGTTCCCTTAAATACTGGTCTTTTGACAGAACTACAAATCCCCCCCCCCTTTGTCTGCTGGTCTGACTACTATATCCGTTCGTTGCGACAATTTCTTAATACCTGCTTCAATTCTTTTATTACAAGGTATATGGGGTAGTTTGAGTGTCTCGATATCTGATTGTATCATCTTTTTAAAGACTTCAACCTGATTATTTTTAGTTAATTGTGGGTTAAACAATGACTTATTCCTAAGATCAGTATGTACAACCCTGCTGGTCTCACTATTCATTCTACTTGAACTTCCTGATGCGCCTAAAAAATATTTTTTAATATTAAGTTTCCTAGTAAACTTAAGTAAATCCACATATACATCAAATCTGTTAGCCGGTTTTGGTGGGGCAAATTTAAGGCCCTTATCTAGAACCTCCAGTTCTTCTCTAGAGAGTGCCTCCACACTAAGGTTGAAAACCCCAACTCCTAGTGGTCTCTTTTTCTTTTTTTCTCTTGCTCCTGCTCTACACCCTCTGTACTTTTTAGTGGGCTCCGTCCCCTTTCCCCCCCTGGGATTTCGCTATTTGCCCCTCTCTAAAAAATTGTCCTGAGGGTAATCATATCCAAGTGGTTCATAACGGTTGTGCATAGGTAATGGGCTTCTCATATCATATGGCTGGTAATAATTCCTATCGTTACGATAATACCCTTGGTCTCTATTGGGCGGTCTATACTGGCGCTCATTAGGATACGGGTTAAAATTATTTCTTGGCGGGTATTGGGGCCTAAATTGTGGATGTTGTGGTCTCCATTGGTTTCCATGGCCGATTTGTTATGAATGAACATGTGAGTAGATCTCTGGTTTTATTATTGATCTATTAAAGCGGTTTTACACTATGTGAGTTCTTTTTGCCTTATTGGTGACCACTTGGGAGGGGTATTTATCGATACCATCAACGATCCGAGATAAGAGACAAGAGGAGGGGAGTTCCACCATTATTACCTGAAGGACCCACCATCTGAAGGATCCATCCAATTCCAGGGGAAAGACCCATTATATACCAAAAGGCTCATTGGTCCTTAGGGGCCTGGGCAGGAAGGTGAGGGGGCACTCCACCTATCTGAGGATTGGCACCTGAAGTTCACACCTGCATGATATTTTATGCACATGGACACTACTCACTGTATTAAGTTTTAAGTCACTATAGTGCACAAGAAGTTTTTTGAGTGTATGATACCACCAGCATATTATTTATTATTTTCTATATGTGGTATGGCTGTCTGGGCTATATAATATACGGTGGTGAAAGGGTCAAATATAAGTAAAAGTAATTTGATGCAACATTTCTCTTTTCTGGTTTGAGCGCCGCACTGCTTTACACTTTGATTTTCTGAATACTGTTGGTGTTGAGATTGTGGCACCTTTAGTGCTGGCTGCTGAGTAGTATCAGTATATTTAGTGGCGCAGGAGACACTTTCTCATTTATTTGAATATTAGTCTGTGAACCAGGCTGCTGCTATTCAGACCCCCTTAAGGAATAACAAAGGTGAACTGCCAGAGTGTTGTCATCTTTCCTGCCACAAGTAAGAGTCATCAAATAAAGGAGGACCCCTCCAACACTTCAGCCAACCGATACAGGAGGATTCCAGACAAAGAGAGTGGTGAGTGGGTCACAGACTTACAGTTAGTCTGAGCCTTTGATGGTGTCCACTTGCAAGAAGTTGACATGTCCTTCTCCCAATGTCTTCAAGGACCCCAACCTAGCCGGTAGAAGATTCACTTTAAGGACTATAGTTAGACAACTTTATCCTGAAGGCAGACTTGTGTTTAACTTTAAATTCTTCTCCTCAGGACTAACCCTAGTCCCCTTGTCTGAGAGCTCTCAAGTGGCATAGCCTGATCTCTGTTATTACTTTTGTGATCACTTGGGGCAAATCATCTCATATAGAGAGCTACTGTTTATGCCGTTGGGGATCACAGTATATGCTGGAATTTAAAATCTCTGCAAGGGACCCTGTGAATCTAATTGTGTGCTCATTATTATGTTTATGCTGGTTGACTTTAACTTTTCAATACATTCTATTATTCTTTCATAGAGTTGTAAGTCAAATTCTTGTGTGCTTGTTAAGGTTCACAGAAAGATAAACTGGTGGTGTCAGTGGGACTGAGGCCTCACGTAGGGCTAAACAAGAGCAGAGCACCAAAATCAACCATCAGCCCCTGAGGGTGTAGCACTACATGTGGGGGCTGGTCCAGGATTCCTCTGATTTATGTGCCAGTAAGTCATTTAATGAGAGAAGAAGATAACCATGGAGCCCACAGCAGGTGATAAGTGGTACCAAGAACAAAATGCCTAACTGGAACTGTGTGGTGATTGGTATAGTGTACCTGGAGGAACATGGTCTGAAGAACAGGTGTGACAGACACCAGTAGCGTTGGTCCCTGGCCAACAAGTATTCATCCTTAAATGTGAAGACAAATCCATACACTCGTCACACCTGTGTCCTGACAGAATGGAAGAAAGGGATTCCTGCTTGCTGCAAGTAGGAAGTCTCCAACTGGCTGATTCAATTGAAGTCCAGTTAATCCAATTAGGCAGACCAAGACCAAATCCAGAAAGCTCTGGGCGAGCAACATCTGACCCAAAAGTAGCCATCTCCTCTCCTGCCATGACCTTTAAAGGACTCTCAGTTTCTCTTGTGGCTGAGTTTGGTAAGCCATTAGAAGGTCTTCAATTCAAGCCATTGAGGAGTGGGAAGTGGCTGACAATGTCAAGAGTCAGAGAGTGATCAAGAGACTATGGGGTCCAGATTCAGAAACAATCTGAAATGTAAAGAAGGATAAGATGCACTGCACTTGAATGCCTAGAGGCTCTTCAAGAAATCTATGTGAGAGTCAAAAATTGTACTGAGTTGATCTATTTCTCCAAGCATACTTGACAACAAGAGAATGAGAAGCTGTCAGACTATGTCAGGTGACTAGGCAAAATTCTTCACCAAGTTATAGTGAAAGGTGGTATGGAAGTGGAAGCTGCCATTAAGGCCTTTTATAGCAAGTTCAGAATGGGGCCCAACCTTTAGACCCCATTCAGTCCCAACTTAGGGCTAGTGTCAGGGCTCCAGGTGTGACCAGAGATGTGTGGACTGACACAGGGAAACAGAGGCTTCAAGTATGGTGTAAACAATATAATTTATTAAGATAATATAATACACACAGTGCAAACCCAAACCTCAATAGATAACAAAATATGCAGGAACACAAAGCAGTCAGACAGGTCGGGTCGGTAACTATCGGGCAGGGAGGTACAGGAGGAGCAGACGGAGAGTAGTCAGGTCACAAGCCAGGTTCAGCAACTAATGGGCAGCGCGGTACAGAGGATCAGGCAGAAGGATGGTCAGACAAGCCAGGGGTTTTAAACAGGAGACAGTCAGCAGGGTCAGGAACAATGCAGAGTCAGCAACAAATCAGGTAGGCAGGAACACAGGATACCAGGTACAGGGACTCATGGGAAACAAACACCAAGGCACTGACTGCAGGCCTGGCCATTCCTTAAATACACCTCCTGCAGTCAGCCTCAGGTGATGGCTGATTGCAGGAGTGAGCTTCTGGTTGCTGAAATCACCCGCTGGCCAGCCCTGGTACTGCAGCCCACACGGCAGTCTGGTGTCAGCAGCTGCGGTCGTGTGGAGAGTGAGCTCTGAGTCTTCCAGAGGCCTATTGCGAGCAGGGAGCTGGATTTCCCTCCCTGCCCAGGAGGGATCAGTGGTCCCGGGCAGGATCCAGGCGGTGGGGGCCCCTCGGAGGATCCGAGTACCGGTCCCTGTGTGTCATCTGGGTCCGAGGAAGGGGGAGCCCTATGCGATTTATAAAGATCACAGGAATGTATGTGCTAGCCGGATCGGCCGCGAAGAGGAGAAGCTAACTAAGCTGAAAGCAGAGGTTAAAAAATTCTGCAGTGCGTATGATCGTTTGTGGAGTAATAAACGTGTGGCCATGAAGCCTGATTTGGAAAAGCTGGAGCAAAAGCTGCGGGTTCAGAGCAAGATTGTGTCTACCCTGAAAGCTGCTGGCAGCTTGCTCCGTGAGAAGGGTGGTGCTGTGGATCGTAGCAATCTGGCCAGGGGGAAGGCTGTGTTGGCAGTCATCATCCCTGGATGATCCAGCAGAGGGGCAGACCAGCATGGAGGAGGAACTGTCGGTGCCATTGGGGAATCCTGAAGCAACCGGGCAGAGCCGAGTGGCGGGCAAATCTAAGGGTGAGGTGGTGGAGGTGGAGGATACGGCGGAGCTGATCCCCCCGGGGCAACAACCGCCTGACTGGGGGTCGCAGCTGGAGATTGCGGAGGCGTCTGGTGAGATGCAGTTTGTGAAAGTGTTGGAGTCCCCACTGCAGGGGCGACATTTTCAGTTTGGTTCTGAGGAGCCTGATGAGGAAGAGACTGGGGTCTCCAAGCCTCTGAAACCAAGAGTTGTGGAAAAGGCGGACTCATTTGGGGACGAGGGGGTAAATGTGGTTTCAGCAGGAAATGTATGTGATAAATCTGTGCCTGTTTCCCTTAGTTCCCCCCTTAATGCTGAGTCAGGGGGAGCTGTGGTTGCCACAAAGGTCCCTGGGCCTGGCCCAGTTCTTGGGGGGGCTGATGGAGTAAATGTTGCCAGCGCATCTGCTCCGGGTCCTGTTGCTGATGATAAGGGCAGGGCAACTGCCACTAGTGTTCTGGAGTCTCGGGGGAAGGATATTACAGTAGCTGCAGGTGGCCCTGTGTTGGGCCCTGACGCTGGGACTCCTAGCAATAAGGTGGCCCCTGGGGGCCCGGCTGCCGGATCTGGGGTCAGGAGTTATGCGGCGGCTGTTGGTGCCCCTGCATCTGGCCCTGTTATTGAGGACCCAAGTTATACTGCTGCCCTAAAGAGGGCTCAGTTGCTGATGGGTCACCCTGGGGAGGTAAGGTCAGGGGTCCCCCCTTCATCAGTCAAAAGGAGGAATGTGGTCCAGTTGAAGTGGCATGGACAGGGTTCCCCTCCTAGCAGGAGAGAGGTGGTGGACCACCTGCTAGAGATGGGCTTTAAAGCTAGCGATATATTTGCCCTCATTGCCCCTTTAGGGTCAGGGGAGTACAATGTCTCTTTTGTCAGGAGTAACATGTTGGATGTGTTCTGGCAGAAGTATGATGACAGGTGGAAGGGGTCGGAGAGATGGGAGGGGCTTGTCCCCAAGGTAATTTCTAAGCAGCCTTTGGTTAAAAACATTACCATCCTTGTGCATAATGAATCCATCCCTGCAGCAGATATCATGATCTGGCTGCAATGGTATGGCGAAGTCCTGAGTCCCCTTAGGAAGGTTAATGATGATAGGGGGATTTGGACAGGAGGGTGGATGGTTACTATGAGGCTGGGGGTAGCAGATAACGTAGTCAAGAACATTCCTTCCTCGGCCTTCATAGGTCGTGACAGGCTAGTAATTTTTTATGCTGGGCAGCCTAGATTGTGTCCAGGTGTGGCAGCAAGTCCCACTTTGCCTCCTTATCCTCTGTGCTGCGTTGTTCTCTTTGCCAAGAGGTGGGTCATATTGCCAAGGATTGCAACCAGATTAGGTGCAATCTGTGCCTGCGGCTGGGCCATTCTTACTCACGGTGCCCGGAGGCTTTGCACAATCAGCCAGAGGTGGTGGAGGAGTTGGTGAGGATGGAGGCAGAAGAGGCTGGTAGTGCAGAACAAAGCTTGGGTCCTGTCATGTCTACGGAAAGTGTCTCCACTGCAGTCCCTGGTGTCCCTGTTGCTCCTGTAGGATCTGAGCCTGTCAGTATGGGAGCTCTCAGTTTGTCCCCTGCTCTAGTGGTGCCTAAATGTCCTGCGGGGCCCATCTCTTCAGGCTCTAAGCTTAAAGAGGCGGCTAGAGGGGCAGGTTTGCCTGGGCCTAGTGTGGTTCCCCCTCCGATGTTATTGTCCCAGCGTTGCCGGAAGAATCGTGTTAAGGCGGGGGAGAGAGTGGTAGAAGGTGAAGGTACTAGTCAGGGGGTAGCTAACCCCAGTGGTAGTACTACTGGTGAGAAGGAGGTGGAGTGGACGAAGGTGGTAAGGAAGGGGAAGAAAAATGAGATTGTTATTTCCCCGGCTTCGTCCATATCTTCTCTAGATGTGGGGGAGCTTTTTACTTCAAATCGGTTTGGGACTCTGTCAGAGGATGAAGGGGGGTCAGTAAGCTCCTTTTTTCTCGATGGAGGAAGGTGGGAGGGGGTCACCTGAGGAAGTGGTGGCCTTTGCAGGGAAAGGGAAGGGAAAAGGAAAGGGTAAGAAACACCAATGACCCAAATGGCAGTTCCCACTCCATTAAAGTGGCGACCATTAATGTCGCCAGCATTAAATCTGTAAGTGCTAGAGATACAGCCCTGTTTTTGCTCAGCAAGATTGATGCTGATGTTTTGTTTTTGCAAGAGACCAGGTTGTGCAGTCTAGCCGATGTCCATCTGGCTAAGAGGGTGTGGAGGCGTGGTCCTTCCTTCTGGTCTCTTGCGGCTGAGCCTTACAGTGGAGTTGCGGTACTTTTTACCGGCATGGTAACGTGCCGGCGGGTCATTGAGGTGGAGATTGGAAGGTGTTTGATCCTGGATGTCCTTGTGAGGGGGCAGGAACTGCGCCTAATTAACATTTATGGACCGCAGTCCAAATGGGACAGGAAATGCCTCTTTACAAAGATCAAGCCTTTTCCTTTTTACATCCCAGCAGGTTGTCTTTGGAGGTGACTTCAACACCATGACTAGGCCCAAGGACAGGAAAGGCTCCAATGACAGGCTGGGATATGACAGCGTTTTCTTAAATGCGATAGTCAGGGAAGCAGGTCTGGTGGATGCCTTGGTTAAGAGCAACCCGGACAGCACTATTTTCACGTATAGGAGAGGCAGTTGTCAGAGTAGAATAGATAGGTTTTTTTTGAAGGAGGACTCTGCCTTCTCTGTACCTGAGTGTCGAGCGGTGGAATTTTCTGATCACCTTTTACTTACTGTGACTTTAAATGTTTCAGATGCGCCACTGAGAGGGAAGGGCATCTGGAGAATGAATTTGGCTCTGCTGGAGGACGAGGAAGTAAGACGATCCTTTGAGGAGTTCTTTCAGGCTCAGGAAACTGTACTGGATTTCTGCAACAGTAAGTCGGAGTGGTGGGAGCTCACCAAGGTGCGGATAGGCAGGTTTTTCAGGGCCCTAGGAAAAAGAAAACAGCTTGATAGGTACATTGCCTACCAACAGTTGCAGAGGAAGCTCGACCGCCTTGTTTCTAGCAGTGGGGATTCTGGGGCAATCTCTGAGGTCAAGCTACTTCTCAGGAAATACCAGTATGACCGGCGTGCCTCTTTGGTTCTGGAGAGGGATTATGGGAAGTACCACTCGCCTGACCCTTTTCAGAATTGTAAGCAGAGCGCAGCGATTAAGACGGTCTCTGGCTTGAGGGATAGTACGGGGTCCCTGACAAGATCCAGGTCGGGGATTCTGGAGGTCTCTAGGTCCTTTTATGAGGATTTGCTGAGCGAGAAGCACCTCGACCGGACAAGGATGCTGAGCTTTTTGGACTCTACACCAGGTCTGGAGGGTAATGTCCTACCTGCAAGTTTGACGGGGGAAATTACAGCAGAAGAGGTGACCAAAGCCATCGATAGTTTGGCCATTAAGAAGACTCCTGGGCCAGACGGTCTGACAGCAGAATTTTTAAAGCCTTTAAGTCCAGCTTGGCACCCCACCTTGCGGAAGTTTACAATTGCTGTCTGGATGAGGGGTTGCTCCCTCCTTCCATGAGGCAGTCTGCTGTAATTCTCTTGTCAAAGGGTAAAGATCTTTCGGCTATTGAGAACTGGTGCCCCATTAGCCTTCTCAATGTTGATAGAAAGATTCTGGCTAAGATCTTGTTCTGGCGCTTGTCGTCAGTGGTGGGTGGCTTACTTTCTCGCCAGCAGCATTGCTCGGTCCAGAGTAGAAGTACCTTTACAGCGGTGTTAGCTGTCCGGGAGGCTCTGGAGTGGTGTAGGGCTGAAGACCGGGGAAAGTTCCTGCTGGCGGTGGATCAGGCAAAGGCCTTTGATCGAGTTGATCACAAGCACCTTTGGCATCTCCTGGACCGGGACGGCCTAGAGGGGAGGTTTATTGGCTGGTTTAAAACATTGTATAGTGAGGCTGAGAGCTTCATGTTGGTGAATGGGTGGATTGGGCGGACTTTTGGGATTGGGTCAGGGGTGCGCCGGGGGTGCCAGCTGAGCCCTTTGCTCTATGCCTTCGCCATTGACCCCTTCATTAGGAGGTTAGATGGTGGAGTGTTGGGTGGGGTGCCGGTGGGTATTACTGGGGACCCCCCCTTAAGGTCGTGGCCTACGCCGATGACGTTTCTGTTTTCATTTCTGGGACACAGGAGGTGGTCACAGTGATGGATCAGTATTCCGAGGCATCGGGCTCCAAGGTCAACCAGGACAAATGTGAAGTTTTCTGGAAGGGTAGGGATGGTGGGAGCTTTTCACTTCCGGACACCTTCCCAGTGCCTCGGCAGAAAATAAAAGTTTTAGGCATCAATTTCGGCCCTGCTGAATACAGCAAGTTAAATTGGGAGGCTAGGCTGTCTGATGCTGTCAGGGCAGGAGCTGAGGAACGGACAGGCAGGCCTAAACAATGTAACGCACTGGCTGACGACAACCACCACCCACAGACCGAAGTCCCTCAGGGCGCGGAGTCTAAGTCCCAGGCTGCCCTTCACCAGGGCCCCTGATGGTGGGGATGGACTTGACGCAGCCAGGAACCAGGTCACGGCCCCCGAGACACCTCAGTTGTGGTAATGGCCGCCGCCAATGGCGTGTAGCTGGTGGAAAAGACAATAGAGTAGTCAGGCAGGCCGGGTCAACAACAACGGGACAAAACGGTACAGGACAGCAGACGAGAATCACAGGTCACGAGCTGGGTTCAGCAACAGAGGGTCAGATCAAAGGAGAACGCAAAGAATAGTTAAGTCATAAGCCGAGTCAGATTCCAGGAGAGTCACGAGAGTCAGAACAGAGTAATAGCAACACAAAGACACAAGTGCAAAGAGCATGTGCGGACCACAGGCTTATATGTCATCAGCCACACCCCTCTGGGGGATGGACCTCAGAGACCTGAAGGCATAAAGGATTCCCACCATGCTCAGCAGAAATCCAAGATGGATGCCAGCACATGGAGTAACATAACCTCTGGGAAAAGGTAGGACCTTGACAGATGCTGAGGGTAAAGTGAGATGTTGGAAGGGGTGGCGGCTCTCCTTGAGGGAAAGGGTTGACATGATCAAGACTTTCCTGATCCCCATTTTTCTGTATGTCAGCTTCGTCTGCCTCTTGCCAGAGTCTCTCTATACGTGGGTCTACAGCTGTTTCTTCCAGATGTTATGGGGGAACAGACTGAACCTTGTCAAGCGGGATGTGACCTACTCATCCAGGAGGGAGGGTGGCCTAGGTATGGTCAACCCAATTGTTTTTTTTCTCTCTGATGTTTATTAAACATAATTTTGGTAATATGCTGGCAGAGAGACCGCCTGTGTGGGTGGGACTTTTTAGGATTTGGTTTAGACCCTTTCTGGACCGTTGGAAGAGTGGCGGGCCAGTGAAAAGCCTGCGGGTCAAGCATGGTGAGCTCCCGGCTTATGTAGCCCCTAGCCTGAAGTTACTCAGGCAGTGACACGTGATGGCGGGGGAGGTCAGATCCCTTCCTAGGAGGCTCCTAGGTGAGAGGATTGTGGCAACCGTCTTTCATGCCCCGCTTGCTCTGAAGGATTGCCTGGGCCATATTATGAGGGAAGGCTTACGGTTGATTAATCTGGAACGGATTCCCTTAAAATTTAGGGACCAGGCCTGGCTCGCTTTCCATGGCAGGCTCTACGTGAGGGGGAACTTGAAGTACCATCCTCTGGATGACCGTGGTTGTCCGAGGTTGGAGTGTCAGGGGGAAGTGGAAACTATGGACCACTTCTTACTTCAGTGCCCTTTCAATGTAGAGGTGTATAAAGAGGTGGGTGGTCTTAGTGTTGGTATAAATAATATGTATTGGTTAGGCCATAAAGGCCTTTCTTCATGCAAGTACAGTTAATTGTGTGAAATTTAATTAAAAATTTATGTATTTAATCATGTCGTTTGGCCGTAAAGGCCGATGCTTTCTCTTTACAGAGATGATGGGCCATAAAGGCCACTAATAAAAACATGGTATTTTGTAGCATAAATCAAAAATGTAGCGCTACAGACCCAAGATATTCCAATGAAGACAGATAGGTGATTCATGCGAATAAATGTCTAAACAAACATAACAGTTCATAAAAAGGGTGACTTTTAGTGATTTCTTC